GAGAGTGTGTGTGTGTGTGTGTGTTGTGTGTGAGGAGAGAAGAGTCCAGTCACACTTATCAGATTGTGGGTCTCTTTACTATGGATGGACTTTACGAGTGTCTCAGATTAGCTTTCAGTCGTCTAACAGAATGAGAGCGCTGGAGTGAGTGATGCTGCCAGCACTCGCGGTGTAATCGAGCAGCGACACACACACACTCACGGGGTTTCTCTCCATTTATTGACGGCTGTTATACCAAGCCGTTGCGTTCTGATGAGACGAGCAGCTATGGTTTCATCGGGAGGAAGTTCAGGGTCCATCTCAGATCTCTACCGTTACACTCGACCCTTTAAATACCGCGGCTCCTCTCAGGGGTGTGTGTTTCCTCGTCTGCTGCTGAGACACGCTTTATCAGGAGTAAACGTCAGCATATGTTCAGCAGTTGGCTGTCAGCCTTCAGCCGCTAACTAATAGTACTTTACGCTACTAATAGTAAATAAATTGTATAATTATTTTAAATATATTAGTAATTGATTTAAATGTCAAATTTATTTAAAATATGTTAGTATAAAAAGTAAGTATAATTATAAGCAAATAAATAGTTAAAATTATATAATGATATATAAATAATACTTTTATTTATTTAATAATTTTATATTATTATATAAAACATAAATTGTAGTTAGGTATATAATGTAAAGTATACTATTTTTTATATATAGTGTAATTATTATAAATATAGTACTAAAAGTACTAAAAGTAAACAATATAAAAACAGTATATTAGTTGTGCAATGACTTGTTTAATTAATTCACCTTTATATACTAAATGTTAGTAATAATTGTACTGTTAATATATTTTTTATATATTGTATTTGTATATAAACAAAAAAGGATACAAAAGAACCATCAAAGCATAACAGGGGTGTCATAAAAACAGTATTTTAGTCATATAATTACTTTTAATAATGAATTTAATTAATTTACTTTTATATACTTTATCTTTAGAAACATATATAATAATAATATATTATTTTTAAGGTACTCCTGTGATGCTTTATGGTGCCTTTTGCATTGTTTTGTAGTTTGACAGTCTCTGGTCATATCTGTGTTCGTTACAGTAAAGTCTTCAGTCTTCACTTGTGTGTGTGTGTGTGTGTGTGTGTGTGTGTACAGGTTTATATATCCTGGTGGGGACTTAAACCTGAATACACACAGACTCATGGGGACTCGTGTCACGGTGAGGACCTAAATTGAGGTCCCCACGGGTACAAAAGCTTATAAATCATACAGAATGAAGTTTTTTGAAAATCTAAAAATGCAGAAAGTTTCCTGTGAGGGGTAGGTTTAGGTGTAGGGTTGGTGTAGGGCAATAGAAAATACTGTCTGTACAGTAGAAAAACCATTACGCCTATGGAGAGTCCCCACAAGGATAGCTGACCAGACGTGTGTGTGTGTGTCTGTGTACGTGTGTACGTGCGTTGTGATGTCACATGCATGTGTTTTATTGAGAGGTGTGTGTATTTTGCAGTATTGTAAGGTGTATGTGTGCTGATGGAAGTCTTCGTTGCACCAGATTCCTGGTTCTTCTTTGTTGTTTGCAACCCAAACCTTCCCATGAGCCTCTAGTGATGAGTGTGAGGTAATGAGCTCAGAGAGTATCGCTCTGGATCAGTCGCTCCGCTGCCGCGATTGCTCTCTGTGTGTTTGGCTCTGCTGGTGGAAACGTGGATGCTGAAGATCTTTTCAGATGACTTTAACGAATGAAGAACAGCAGCTCTCATAGGGATAAAGGGGGTTTATTACATCAGAAATTCCCTCAAAGGAAGAATTCCTTTCAGTTCTGTCAGCATTTCTTTATTTGTTTATTTATTTGTTTTGGATCCTTTGGACACTTAAAGGTAGGGTAAATGATTTCGGAAAGGCTAGCAATAGCAAGCTTTGAAAGCATAAGATCCCACCCTCCCTGCAAATCACTCTCCAAAGCCACGCCTCCTCCAAACACATGAACACGCTCAGACAGACCAGAGGCTAACCAGCGACACGATGAGAGACGGGGTGTCAACGCTGTCAGATTACCTCATGTCTCATTCACAGCTGAGAAAACATTACAGTACAAAGCGTATAATGTTGCAGTAATAACGCCTTCCATTCTCACTTGGTCTGCAATAGTGTAATGAACACGCCGATATCGTATCATGTCTGCGCAAACAGTTTCCGGAGGTATGCAAATACATAGATTGACAGGCAGGTAGGACAGCCTATCTTAATCTTTGGACCGAATAATTTGATTGGAGGACCATTTTATGGTCCTATACCTTGCACAGATGATATAAATACATATACATACATTTAGACCCCTAAGTGATTGCTGTCGGGATGTGATGAGACTTTTAACCAGCATCACAAAAAAAATTTTTTGAACCAAATCACCTACCCTGCCTTTAAGTTACACTTAAAAAATGTGTGAATTTCATTGTATTGGATACACATTTTAAACCAAGTGGCATCTGCAAACAAATGATGCTAGAAATGTTCTCAAAACAATATTATTTAATTTATTTATATAATTATGTAAGTATATAACATAAATTATTATTATAGATTATGTAATTATATAAATGAAACAATAATACAGTGTATATTGTAGTAAATTACATAAATTGTGTAATTATTCTAATGGAGTGTCTATTTACACTAAGTGCAAATAGCCCATCTTGTTGGCAGAGGCTATTTACACTAACTCCGCCCACCAGCGTGTGATTGTGGGAGTCAACACTACAAAAGACGATCATTATCCCTTTAACGCGTACGATCACACCGGTGTGATCAGTCTTGGCTGGTCCCTGAAGCGTACGATCACACCGGTGTGATTAGAACTTGCAATGCGTCACGTCATCAACTGCTGAATTTAAATCCGCTTAGATCAACTAACACGGTCGATATAAAAGTGTTTAAACTACCAAATAGATTTACTTGCACATATTTCAGAATCGGAATATCAGATATTTCATAATATAGTGAGCATGTTTGTGAATATTTTGAATAAAATAGGAAAAAACGAAATAAAAGCGATTCATGTGTCATACAGATCTATTATGGCTGCGTTGTGTCACATGACAAGAATGACGTGTCGCCATGGAAACAATAAGGCGATACATTCTAAAATAACGGTCGCCTAAAAAAAAACTCACGCTGGGTGCTCAGCTAGAATATTTTAAACTCACGTGCAAAAGGGTTAAACTTCATTTCCAGTGGCGTAGATGGTAAAGCACGTGTTTTTTCATGCGATCGACCCAAGTTCGAATCCGCCTTTTGACGAACTTTTTTCTTCCTTTTCAAATCTCATATCAAATCGGAAAGGCATTTATTTTTAATAAAAATGAAGGAAATAATCGAAAAGTTGAAAATAAAGTAGCAGGTAGGTGTAGGGAGGGCTTTATTGTCCCATTAAGGTGGCATCCACTTAATAATTTGAATTAAAATTGCAATTTACACTCAATACATTATTATTGCGTACTGTTTTATAATGTACTACAATACTGAGGTGCAGTAACTACTATAAATAGCAGAAAATTCTTAAAATAGTGTAAATAGAATCTATAGCTATTTGCACAGTGTAAATAACAAATCGTAAAAAAAATACTGCTATTTGCACTTAGTGTAAATACAATACATTGCTATTTGCGCTTAGTGTAAATAGCATTTATCACTATTTACATTTAGTGCAAATAGCTGCTGCCTTATTCTAAATATTTTGTTAGTAATTTAAATATCAAATACAAAAATATCATTAGTATAAAAGAGTATAATTATATGTATAAAAGTATATAACATAAATTGTAATTATAGATATGCATATGTATAATTATACAGTTTATATAGTATATAAATTGTATAATCGTTTTAAATATATGATATTAGTCATTTAAATATATCAGATATAAAAAGTATAAAAATTAGTATAAGTATATAAAAATATATAATACTACAATGTAAAATTGTAGTTCTATATTATTTTTATAAATATATAATTATATAATCAAAACATAATTATACTATTTCTATGACATAAAAAGTTATAAATATTACAAACATGTTTAAATAGTATATACCTTTTAAAAGTTACACACACACACACACACACTGAACGCACACTTTTAAGCTCCTGAAAGCAAATACAAAGCCCCTAAAGCAGTCAATAATGACATAATGTTGATTTTTTTTTCAGATCTCTCTCTTTAAGCTCTCGTATAGTCCGGTCTGATCCGGTCTGAAGTGTTTTAATGAGTGTAGATGAGATTGTTTCTCGGCACGTTAAGGAGATAATGAAGCACTTGCTGTTGATTTGATGAATCTGCGTCTATTCCCCCGTGTGTGGATTACTCACTGCAACTCCTCACAATAACCAGCATTAAACAGCTGAGCCGACTAACCATCCCATCACTGACTGTGTGTTTTTATGTCTTTCTCTCTGCATTTCTGAGATGTTTTTTTTTTTCTGGTGTTTTGTGCCACAGCATGTCAGCTGGTTTGATGAATGTGTTTTTATTGAGGCAGTGTAGCCTATCGCCTGCTCATTATCAGCTTCATTTACATATATTACACGACACGGATGCCTATGCAGCATAAATAGAGAGACACTTATGAGGAGTTGAACAGTATTCAATTTAATTGACTGATTCTTACCTTGTGTCAGAAAATGTTATATAAAATTACATAATTATTTGTTATAGATTATTTTTTACGCTTTTGTTGGACCAAAAAAAAAAAAACTGTCCAAATTTTGTTTTCTCCTTTTGTTGTGCGATTCATTGATAAATCTCGATAAACTCGGACAGATTTAGGAAGAATGAAACCATCTCGACGTCAACTTGGTAAACTTACCAATGGTGCCGCAAACTAAAAGAGAGAGATCAAACCCTATGGTTAGTTATGCAAAAAAAAATTATTATAAAAGAAAACCAAAAAAATAAAATTACATTTGGTGAGAAATAAGAAACGGGGAAAATACATTTGTTTCTAAATAAAATAGGTAAAAATAAGAATAGAATGGTAAACAAAATACTGTGCATTTGCTAGTCAGTTAAAAAAAATGAAAATAAGTAAAAATACTTTTGGTGTCCAATAAAATGGCTAAAAATAAGGCAAGACTGGTTAATAAAAACATTTGCTAGCCAATTAACAAAAAAGGATAAAAATAAATAAAAATGTTTAAAAAATAATTATTGGTGACCAATAAAATGTTTACAAATAAGAAAAAAAAAACTGAAAAAATAAATATTTTTTTAATGGCCAATAAAATTAGTAAAAATTAAGGAAAAAACTGCAAAATTACTTTTTTGGCCAATAAAATGGGTTTAAAAAAAAGAGAAAATAATGGTTAAACTTACATTTGCTGGCCAATAAAATGGGTAAAAATGAGAAATGAAATGAAATGTAAAATGAGAAAATAGTTTTAAAAAATACTGTTAAAAAAATTAGTTGTCCAATAAAATGGGTAAAACTAATAGGTGACTGATAAATGTGTAAAATAATAAGCTTGGATGATAAAACACGATAGATGCAAGCCATATCTAGAGACCAGATCATAGAGACCTGAGGGTGCAAGACAGGAAAAAACAACTAGCAACCAGCAAGAATACCCTCGCAACATGACTGAGTTTTGCACATGCAAACAGCACTCTGGTTGTCTTTATAAGTCTCATTGTGTGATAGAGACACATGCACCTCATCTACTGCCCTGTGCGTCCTCATAAATGTTCCCTGTGTGTGTGTGTGTGTGTGTGTGTGTGCGCAGTGACGGGTTTCCCGTATCCCGCGGCAGGAGCGACGGTGGCGTACAGAGGCGCACATCTGCGGGGCAGAGGCCGTGCCGTTTACAACACCTTCCGTACGGCTCCTCCTCCTCCACCCATCCCAGCGTACGGCGCGTGAGTCTTTCTCAGCAAATACTGACCTGTGCCATAGTAATTACATCAACTGATACATAATTAATGCAATTAAAAATGAATCGATTGACAGCTTACTTGGACGTGTCGTTTTTCAGGTGCATCTCTCTGCAAAGTCATTTATTTCTCACAGTCATGTGACTATTCCTGATGCAGCAGTTTTGATGCTCATATCTGTGATGATCAAACGCTCTCTTCTCTGTCTCACAGGATGGTGTATCAGGACGGATTCTACGGCGCGGAGATCTACGTGAGTAACTTTGTTTCTTGAGGTACGAGAGCGGAGTGTAATTCCAGTCCAGGACCTCTGGCGTCGATTAAGCGATGCCTCGCTTTTGCCAAGAAACCTGCCAACCCAATTCTAGATTCCCTTCAGTCTCCACAAACTCAGAGTTTGGCAAAGGAGCAAAGCGCTCTCCATGTCCTCCAGCTTCAGCACGCACACACAAAATCATGCTTTCAAACCACTCCTGCATTTGGCAGATGTGTTTATCCAAAGCGACTTGCGTTGCATTCAAGGTATACGCTTATCAGTTCATGCATTCACTGGGAATCAAACCCGTGACCTTAGTTCAGTGCCACAGGCCTGAAATTGTTTAACAGTTCAAAAGGAATAGAAATAGAAAACTTGACTTGTTTAAACAGCAGTACTGTATGTTGGTAAAATACTGAGGCGAGAGTTCACAGAGAACAAATTGAACTCCAGTTTAGTGTTGTTTATGTACATGTGCTGCTTGTGCTGTTAGTGTTTGTGGAAAAAAAAGAGGTTAGGAGGTGAACTGAGAGCAGAGAATTAAAAAATATTTTTTATAGCCAATGAAATGGGTAAAAATAAGAAAAAAAAGTGGAAAAAAATTAATTTGGTGACCAACAAAAAGGGAGAAAATATGAAGGAAAAAAGGTGAAAAAAATATTTTGGTGGCCAACAAAATGGGTAAAAAAAATTTTTTAATGTTGAACAAAATAAATTTAGTGACCAATAAAATAGGTAAAAAATAAATAAATAAGAAACAACTGTGAAAAAGTTACATTTGGTGGGCAATAAAATGGGTAAAAATAAGGATAAATATACTTTTGGTGGCCAGTAAAATTGTTAAAAATAAGAGCAAAAAACAGTGGAAAAACATACATTTGGTGGGCAATAAAATGAGTTAAAATAAGAAATGAATGATCAAATAAATTACATTTATTAGCCAATAAAGTTGGTAAAAATAAGAATAAACTGTGACAAAGTTACATTTGGTGTCAATAAAGTGGGTAAAAATAAGGGGGAAATTGTGGAAAAATTAACTCTTTGTGGCCAATAAATGGGTAAAAAAATCAAGTTTCAAATGGATGATAAAACAGGTGAAAAAGATCAGCTTTCATTGAAGAAGGGACACGAGAGAGTGTGTGTGTGTGTGTGTTGTAGTTTGTTGATTGGTGGCTGTGGACCCTCAGTAGTGAGCGTTTTGTGGTTGGTCTGCAGTGAGTCACTGATAAGGTGAAGCGGCTTCAGATAAATGGATTCATCTTCCTGCCAGCGCTGCTGTTCACACACACACACACACGCACACACACACACACACACACACACACACACATATCTGTAAGATGTCTCACATCTGTGTCACCCTGATAGTGACACACTGACCTGCAGTGACCCGCAGGAGAACAAACACATTCACACATCTCTCTTTCGCTCTCATTCTCTGCTCTCAGTTCATCTCCTTACCTTTTTTAAAAATTGTTTTCAGTTTGAAATGCTGCATATTTTTTTATCTATTTTTTCATTTTATTTTGTGAATTGATTTTATTCAAATGAGAGTATGTGTGGAATATACTGATATGTTTGGATGCTAGTGTCTTAGAAATGGTTACATTACTTCTTCTTTTTTTCACTTTTCTTTTTTCTTTTCCACACACACACACACACACACACACACACACACACACATATCTGTAAGATGTCTCACATCTGTGTCACCCTGATAGTGACACACTGACCCGCAGTGACCCGCAGGAGAACAAACACATTCACACATCTCTCTTTCGCTCTCATTCTCTGCTCTCAGTTCATCTCCTTACCTTTTTTAAAAATTGTTTTCAGTTTGAAATGCTGCATATTTTTTTATCTATTTTTTCATTTTATTTTGTGAATTGATTTTATTCAAATGAGAGTATGTGTGGAATATACTGATATGTTTGGATGCTAGTGTCTTAGAAATGGTTACATTACTTCTTCTTTTTTTCACTTTTCTTTTTTCTTTTCCATTTTCAATTATTTTTTCTTTTCATTGTACCTCCTTATTCTTTCTGCATTGCTTCCTTTTTATTTTATTTTATTTTTTGATTTCACTTGTTTTTTTTCTCTTCTAATCTTTTGTTTCTTTTATTTTTTTCTCTTTTCTTTTCTGATTTCTCCCTTTTCTTTTTTCACTTATCATCTTCTCTCCTCTTTCCTTTTCTCATGTTATTCTTTTTTTGTTCCTTTTCTATCTTTTATTTTATTTTCATCATCTTCTCTCCTCTTTAATTTTCTTCTTTGCTTTTCTCTCTTTTCTTTTCCCTTTTTTCTGTTTTGTTTCTCTTTAAGTTTCACTTCTATTACTTGTATCTTTTATTTTCTATATTTATTCTTTTTTTCTTTCCTTAATTTCTCTTCTCTTCTGGTCTTCTCTCCTCGTCTCTTCTCATTCTTCCCCTATCATGTTCTCTCTCTCTCCTCTCATTGTCTGTTCTCTCGTCTTCAGCGGTGTGGTCTGTTATATTTAGCGACGGGGCTCTCGGTGTCCTGATAAAGGCATGTTCTGTGTATTGGGCCGGAGGTGCTGACAGTCTGATTTATTACCCCGTGTGTTCGCAGGCGGGGGCTCCAATCAGCGCGGTCCCGCAGGAAGTTCACCACGCCTGCCCCTCCTCACTTCCTGTCCCCAGGGGAGGGGTCACATGACCTCGCGATCCCCCGCTCAACCTCTAACCTGATTTCATTTCACTTTCACTCCCAAACTTCTTCCGATTCAAATTGTTTTCCGAGTGATGGGAAATCCAGCTCTTCCCGTAGCGTTGGAGACGCTCCTTGTGCTCGTTTCAGTAACGCACAAGCCTTTCTGTGCTGACTGTCTCAAATTCGCTACTCAATAAACTTTCCGTGCCCGATTTAAATGCGGCACACATTATCAATGTAAGCCTTCCACACTCAGCATCTCAAATATAAATCAGCAGCGTTATCGCGTGTTGCAGCGCCCCCCGGTGGCGCGTCGCGGTCGCTCATGGCGTTCTGTGTTTGTCAGGCCGGAGAATGTAAAACAGCGGCTGTTCTCGTTCTGACGCTCTGATTAATGTGTGTTATTAGCGATCTGCCTACAGACAAATGAGCTCGACTCCACCTCAGAGTCTCTGCTGATTATGATACAAGCGACAAATCTACCGTTTTGTGGAGAAACCAACAAGAACCAAGAGAGAAGTGTTTCGAAACCTATAAAGATGACATCTGAAGGCATCATACGCACACTTCTGAGGATGCTATACAGATACTAGGCTGCTGTACAGTCTAACGTATGAAATAATAGAAAAGTCTCATTTTTAAAAATGGAACAGTTTATTAAACCTTTACACAAAACATTAACGAAAAAATTGTGCATATGTGTTTATTGTTGGGTATTATAGTATGAGATGGTGAGAATATGGCGGAAACAGCAGCTCAGTTTTATTCAGAGATGTAAACTGAGCAAAAATGTGCAATTTAGTGCTGATGCTGGTATTTAAGTGGACAAAAAGTGAGATGGAATTCTGATAGCTTGTAAGTCAATGAGATCTTTATAACAGTATAACAGATAGGCCTACTTACATAAAATGATATAAACATCAGTCGTCAATCTATATCTCCAATAATATGTCTTAGTAAGATGATATTTAAATGCTTTATGATCAAAGCTCTGCAGTTTCGAAACATATAATGCAATACAATACAATGGTAATTGAGAGATAATAAATGTTCCTCAAAAGAGACACGTGAAGCACAAGCTGAAGATGTAGCCTACATTTGTATAATTATACTAAAAGGCCTTTTACTTGCTAAAAAAGTCTAAACTATCAATCAGACGACAGAAGGCATGGAGTGGATTGTGTGCAACAGGTTTAATGGCAACATTTTGATCATGTTGCTCGTTTAGAGGCCTTAGAAATGCATACATCAAATGATGCAGTATTTCGTAGTAGGTATGTGTTGTAAATCAGTTGGGGTGTGATAGATAAATGATAGTTTTGTTCTTTGTTTTGTGTTGATCTTTTTGTCATTTTTGTGTTTTCAGGGTGGATATGCGGCGTACAGATACACTCAGCCTGCAACGGCTACAGCGTACAGCGACAGGTACGAGTTCATTCACACATGCAGTGTTGCATAACAACAAAAACATTTATTTTGGCATGCATTTTAAGTTTTTCAGATAAACAAGATCTCTTTATGATTTCAGTTGTTGTTTTTTTCTGTTTAGCATCAGTTTGTATTTATTTCCATTTTTGTTTTATTGATTTTTAGTGTATAACCATTTATTACAAAAATTTATTGCTTTTTAATGGATTACTTTTTTAAATATAATTAACAGCATTAAACGGTTAAATGTAATATATTGTTTTTAATTATTAAATTAATCTTTTTTTCTTTTCTTTTTTAATGTCACTGCTCATTCTCCATAGCAGTGGTACGTTTTATAATTTCAATATTTTTGTTTTTCTATTTAAACTGACCTGAAAACAGTATTATGTTAATATAGTTATGTACACTAGTCCAGTGGTTCCTAACCCTGGTCCTTGAGGTACCCCAACACTGCACATTTTGCATGTCTCCTTAATCAAACACACCTGATTCAGGTCATCAGCTCATTAGTAGAGACTCCAAGACCTGAAATTGGTGTGTCAGAGAAAGCAGACATGCAAAATGTGCAGTGTTGGGGTGCCTCCAGGACCAGGGTTGGGAACCACTGCACTAGTCAACAAAACAAAGTTAATCAAAGTTGTCCTAAAACCTAAAACCAAAATGCATTCTTGTCTTAGGACAACTTTGATTAACTTTTTAGATCCATTTCAAATGTTGACTACTATATTAATATTTTGAGAATTTATTAATGAGAATTTATTAGTTTATTAATGTAATTAGCTTTTTTTTCAGTTTTTATGTGTTTTTGTCATTTCTATTGTTTTGTTGCTTTTTAAATATTTCTTCTTAGCTTTAATTTACATTTATATCAGTTTTAGTAATTTTAGTGCTTAAGCTTATTTCTCTACAAATTTCCATCTAATTTATTTCACATGAGGAGAAAATAAAATAAAGCCAGAGTCTGTATAGGAAGTTTGAGTGAAGCAGCAATTTGCTAATGAGGAAGAGAAATAAACTTAATTCAAGACCCGTCACTGAAACCAAGTCACAATACGTGGTTTTGCTTCGCAAGGAAATTTATGTTGTTCTAAAGGATGTTTAGCTATTTTTACTGGAACACAAAACAATAATACTGATTACACAGATTAATGAAATGATGTTTTGCGCTGTGCCGAAGTCAGCGTTATGCTTTCAAAGCAGGTTTCTTGCCAATCCAGACTGAGTCAGCACAATTACCGTCCAGTTTCATACACACAGACATTAAAGCGTATATATCTCTTACGGTAAAGCTGGCCTTTTCTCTCTCGCCCTCCGTTCGTTTGCTGGAGTTGTTGCCCGCAGCCGAGGGCTTGTGTTTTCTTATCTGCTCTCTGCAGACCTTCATTTGCAAGCTGTATGTGGAGAAGAAGCAGAAGAGAGTGGAATATGTGCAATATATAAATGAAAGGAAATGACACGTGTTGTCCTTCCTGTGGAGGATTAGTTCCAAACCAGCGACACGAAGCCTGCGTCACCTCGTTTGCCTCTTTCACCTTTCTTTCCCTCGCCCATTATCTCTATTCAGTCATTCTGTTGCGCTCATGCTTAATTTTTCTTCAGTCTTCTCTTTTCTTGTCGATTACCTGAAATTGTTTCTTAGAAAAATAAAAACACGTTATGAGGGCCGTTCGACAGAAAGTTTTTCTTCGGCAGATTTAAAAGAGAATGCTAAAAGCAAACAAAATTTGACTCCCTATGAACCCGTTCACATCTGAAGTCTGAAAGTTTTGATGTAGTTTCTTTCTGTAGAAAGCCCCCAAAATTCCATCCTTACTCACTGGACAAAAACACAAGTCCAAAAATGTACCTATACATACAATTCACTGCAGTTTCCAGCTGAAATAGTGGCAGTAAAGAACCAGCAACCTTTATTCTTTTATACACCAATTTTGATTACAGGGGCAGATTATTGATTAATAAACACTTATTTTCATGCACAATACTAAGTTTTGATCTCAAAACACTTTTAACCCTTAAATGCATGAAGGTTTCGCCAATCATTATTACATATTCGGGTCTTTAGCGAGCCGGACCTATATATCCAGCACAGATGGATCTCTAACTGCTGCAATAGCAACAAAACTCTCTTGATATTTTAAGAACAATTACAGAAGAAAAAAAAATAAAGCATGTTGCCATTCAAACCAGTTAAATTTTTGCTGATGATATTTGTTTGTTTTATGCCTGCTGTAATTATTAGTGAAACGTCACGTCAGTATGTAAATATAGTTGCGCAGAAAAAAATACTTACACATTTACATACCTCGGGTCTCTAGCGACCCTATACACTTTTTACAAAAAATTAATCAGAAAACAGGCATTCTTTTATATTTTACTATTTTTTTTTTCTTATATTGTTTAAAATGAATAGATTGAGGAATACTAAGAAAGTTGATGTCTAACTTTAAAAAATGAAGGAGGGAGAGGGTAGAGAATGATGTCCCGGGTTGCTAAAGACCCGAGGTATGCATTTAAGGGTTAAAATAGCACCTGGTTTAAACAAAACGGACATTTTGATGTTTGCATCAAATGTTTGCACATAACAAGCCCCATATCTATGGCTTTTCTGACATAGTAAGCTTGCTCAGTAGCGCACCCAGTGCATTGCATTTGTGATGCGGGTCATGATAATTTGGTATTTCTATTTACTTTAATTAGTATTTATTTTGTTTTAGTATAGTATTCACACCAAGTCTGCAAATTTTGGTGAAGTTTCGAAGCTGGTGAGAATAGTTTTGGTGCGTATAGTGTATTTTAATTTCGATATTTGCCTCACATTAGATATTTGAGTCACATTACAGAAGTAAAATAGGTTGTAAATGCTGTTTCATGTTGTGAATGAGCGTTTACAGGTGTTAAAGCATCTCTTGATTGATGTTTCTGCAGTTATGGGAGAGTCTATGCAACTACTGACCCATATCACCACACCATCGCCCCGGCAGCCACCTACAGCGTGGGGACCATGGTAAGATAAACCGCTGTTATAAACCCAGAAGAGTCGGAAACAGCACGCAAATGTATTGTGCACTTTGTCAGAATTGTATTAAGAACTGTTTCCCACCTTTTTTGTCCACCATATATGTGCCAGGTGTGTTTCTGGGAGTCGTGTTTCCATGACACGCTCCCTGACGAGACGAAGTCAGTCGGTTAATGTTTGTTTTTAGCTAGCGTTTGCAGCTAACATCAAAGATGAAGGCACTAATGGGCCGTCAGAGTGAGGAGAGCTCGTCTCTTCTCCACTGCGTCGTTTGCTCTCTATTTCCCCTAAATTAACGAGCATGTAACGCATGCAGCAGTGTGCCGTGGGACAGACTCGACTAAAGGAAGGAGACGACAGAGGATGGTTTATTTCCAACCACCTCTCTCTATCAGAAAGAGAAAAAAAAAGACTCTTGTTTGGCACTCCAGCATGCATGCAATTTCTCAACGACAAGGACGTCAGCAAAACACATTAAAACGAAATAAGAAAGAAAAAAGAAGCAGTAGTAAACAGTTCCCCGGTGCAGCTGCTAGCTAAAAGCTTTCATTAATTAAGACGCTTTGTTTGAGACTCTCTTCATTTACTTAATTAAGACTGTGCCTGTACGCTTTTCTTTAAATCCTGCTTCCCTGCAAATTTCCTTCCTTGTTTCTTCATCAACAGTGAGAAAAATGGCCCCATCACAGAGCCGAGAAGCCCCCGTCAGTGGCTCCGTTCCAAAACATAGTGAGCCGCCTGTCTACTGCTTACAAAGAGACTGTTCTTTCATTGACAACTGCTAGAGAGAGCACCATTTTTCAAAGTTGAACTACTTATAACTTGATACAACATTTTGAAAAGTGTTAATAATCCATTTTTAATCAGACTGACCTTTTTCATTTATTTATTTATTTATAAATTCAATTATATTACATTATAATATTATTTTCTTACACAATTTTGGATAGATGTTTTGTTGCAGTGCATTCTGGGATTGCAGACGATTGATGCATTGCAAAAACTTAATTTTCTTCCTTAGTATTTTGTCTTGTTTTGCCACAATTAAATCAAGATATTTAAAATAAAAGGGTAATATAAAAATAAAATAATTTGTATGAGAAATCAATTGAAATAAGGTAAAAACTTAAAGAATTGGCAACTAACTAAAATAAAAAAATAACAACAAAAAGCTAATTACAATTATTTAAAAACTAATAAAATGACATCAACAAAATATTTTTTTAAATATAAAAATTAATTCTAATTCAATAAATACTGTATTAAATATAAAAAAATGCTAAAATACCACTGATCATGATTCAGTAATGTTTAGATATTCATACTAGAAAATAAGAAAAACAATACTGAGGAAGAAAATAACTTTTTGCAGTGTACATCTGATGCTGCATTACAGTTTGGCCAAATAAAGGTCTCTTAGAAGGCTTTGAGTTCCTTTTGAAGCGCCTCTATGATGTCTTACAATGCTGTCTAGTTAGGGAGCTCACTAGGTTTTGGAACAGACCCAACTTGTCCATTTATTTATGTGTGTGTGTGTGTGTATGTTTGAGAACTGATGCAGAAGAACCTGAGAGTTTAGATATTCATACTAGAAAATAAGAAAAACAATACTGAGGAAGAAAATAACTTTTTGCAGTGTACATCTGATGCTGCATTACAGTTTGGCCAAATAAAGGTCTCTTAGAAGGCTTTGAGTTCCTTTTGAAGTGCCTCTATGATGTCTTACAATGCTGTCTAGTTAGGGAGCTCACTAGGTTTTGGAACAGACCCAACTTGTCCATTTATTTATGTGTGTGTGTGTGTGTGTGTATGTTTGAGAACTGATGCAGAAGAACCTGAGAACTGATTTACAGAGCAATCAAATGATCCCTCATCTGTCAGAGAAAGAGCACTTTGGTTTTCGGCTCTTTCATCATAACTGATTAACGCGACGGCGCGAGATGGGAGAGCTTTTCGCTTTTAAAATTCCTTTAATAATTAGTTCCTCTGAGGTTGCATTAAAATCTCTTTGCTGGTTTTCCCAGCGTCATGAAATTGCAGAAGGCTTCCACCCAGACCAGCGAGCGGGTTCCCCCATAAATTAGGGAGAATTATCCTTTGAAGGTCTCGGCTTTCTGGAGTAAATTACGCGTATGGTCCGGTATCGTGGGGTGTGTTCGAAGACCATCACTCACTCCCACGCCTGCCAGATTTCTGCACACTAAACCTTAAAGAGAATAATTGTACATGCCTTTGAACACCATTGGAATTCATTTGATGCATCGTAGTTTGAGGTCTATAACGCTTTCAAAGTCAGCCGATGCCATTTCTGCACAATGCATGCGGATGGAACGCTTCTAAAATTGCTAGATAGTGACTCTGTAATGAGATACCAAAAAAAGAATGCAGATCCCTTCATGGGCAGCACGACCCCTTGATCTCACCATTATTAAACTTAAGTTTTGATAAGTTTTCTAAATCAGTTCTCAGAGTTCATCAGCATTAGTGAACACACACACACACACACCGGTAAAGGAATAGTTCACCCAAAAATGAAAATTTGCTGAACATTTTCTCGCCCTCAGGCCATGTAAGATGTTGGATGAGTTTGTTACTTCAAGAAAACAAATTTGGAGAAATGTAGTATTACATCACTTGCTCACCAATCGATCATTTGCAGTGAATGGGTGCCGTGAGAATGAAAGTCCAAACAGCTGATCACAAAAACATCACAATAATCCACAAGTAATCCACACCACTCCAGTCCATCAGTTAATGTCTTGTGAATAGAAAAGCTGCATGTTTGTAACAAATAAGTCCATCATTAAGATGTTTTAACTTCAAACTGGCTAAAATAGTCCTCTATCCATAATATTGCTTTCCCAGTGAAAAGGTCACCTTGTCTGAATCAGGAGAGAAATATGCACAGATCAAGCTCTGTTTACAAACCAAAACAGGCCAAAACCGCTCTAAACAAATATGTGGGTGGGTTTTGATGTGAGAGGCAACAGGAGATGGACTTTTGTGGATTAGTGTGATGTTTTTTATCAGCTGTTTGGAGTCTCATTCTGGCGGCACCCATTTATTACAGAGGATCCATTGGTGAGTGATGTAACGATATATTTCTCCAAATCTGTTCTACTGAGAGGAAAAAAAAACTTTTCTACAAACAAACTTACTTTTAGGAGTGAACTATTCCTTTATATCAATGGCAGAATTCTAAAGGAAGGAAATTTGAGAAGCAGGAATTCCGTCGTTGCCGTGACCACCAGCTTGACTCTGATTGGTGCTCTGTCATCTTTGATGTTGCAGGCGAGCCTGTACAGAGGAGGCTACAGCCGCTTCACGCCCTACTAGAGAGACTAAACCACTGATTACGCAAACTAACACACAAAACCACTAGACTCGTTCTGCTACACGGAGTGTGATTTCAAACTAAAATGCTTCCAGGTCACCCAGTGACCTCATCCCGACATCATTCTCTCAAGTGGACGTTGTGGAAATCAATGGGAAAATCAGAAGAGCAGCTCATAAATGTGGAGTTGATGTCAGATTTTTTGATTTTTTGATTTTAGACATTTTTTTACATTTTTTTTCGCATTTGTGTTTTGTCTGCAAATGCAGGGACAGTGTTTCAAAAAGCATTTTAAAATGGGAAGAAAGTGAACTATTATTTGGTCCTTTAGATGATTGTTTTTCATTATTGATCATTTTATGTATATAAGCTGCTAGTGTGAATTCAGACATGAGACAAAAATATCTCAGGACTCTCTTCAACTTTGCTCTGAATCCAAAACCACCCCAGCCAGACGTTCAGATATGTGTGTATATATATATATATATATATATACTTCACCAGATATTGCCAGCATACTCTATTCTCTGTGGTCTGAAACTGTGTGTTTGCTGTATAAATAAGCTGTTCTTGTTTAGTTGCTGGGGTTTTATTTGAAGGGTTTCTATGCATGTTGTTTCCGAAATGAGAGGACTCGTCATGTGTTCGGCCCTCTCACGTTTGCACTTACAGATTTACCTCTGTACACAGTGGACAGGTTTAACTCATGCTAACTAATGCTGAATGGATGTGTGAGTGCTTGTACATTGACATATAAAGGATTAAACCATCATTTCATATATGGAAATATTGCATAAAGTAATTTTACAAGTTAACACAGAGACTTTGGGAGCAATATGATTTTCAAAGGAAGGACATATAATTAGATTCATGAAAATACAAGGAAACTTGGTGGGATTTAAAGAGATGTGCAAAGAAATTTAAAAATAATAATGATAAGGTGACATGGGGAGATTTAAGGAGATATACAGAGAAATTAAAAAATAATAATAATGATAAGGTGACATGGGGAGATTTAAGGAGATTCACAGAGAAACTGAAAAAATATAAATTATTACGCTTAAGAAAATGTGTAAGGAGACACGGAGAGTTTAAGTGGACATACAGAGATGTAGGGGAACACAAAAAACGGTTACATTTAAGGCAAGGCACTATGAGACCACTGTTCAGTTTTGAGATTTTGGTCTATTTTGTTTCCAGACTAGGGGAAAGAAAACATCCAAAATACATATTTAAGTGTTTATTTTATTACATGATTTTATTTGCAGCTGTAGATTTCAATTACAATATATATCTTTAAATCTGTTTTCAAAATTCTCTCTCTCTCTCTCTCTCTCTCTCTCTTTCTTCAGTTTTACCTACATACACCAAACTTAGCAGTTTTATTCCTCGCTATATTCTGAAGGTATTTATAGAGGGGTTTGTTCATGCATCATTCGCTTGATTTTATTATTGCACTTTATCTATTTGCGTCTGTAGATTTCAATTATAATACATAAATGCCATTTTCAAAATGAGTTTGTTTCTCCACTTTAGCAGCACTCGCGAACACCAAATTTTACGGTTTTATTCCTATCTATATTCTGAAGATTTTTATAGAGGGGTTTGTTCATATATCATTTGCACTGATATATATTACATTTTATTCCTAAAACATGATGAAAATTCTGATTTATAGAGTGATAAAAAGAGATATCAAAAATCCCTTCTGTAAAAACCTTTAACTCTAATATGTCTACAAAATCAAGCAAAAAAAATAAACCTGTTTTTATCCAGTGTTCAGATTTATTCTTTGCAATTTTTGCAAATTAGTGCATATTTAATTAGAAAATGCCTCATTTGTGTATTTAAACGAAACATTTCTGAAAGCCTATAATACAATACAGTTGTCTTAATGTACTGTATGTATGGGTGATATATTATCCCAAATTTTTACTCTGTTCACCTGTAGTGTCTTGCCTTAATAAACATACTGAGACACAGTGAGGCATAAGGAATCATAGGAAAGTATAAAGAAACCTAAAGAGACAGGAATGGAGAGAAGCTGTCTGCTGAGAGTTTCATGTGAATCAGTTCAGTCTCTACCTCATTGATTCAAATGCAAAACATGGATAGAGACCTTAAGTCGTGTGACATGTGTTAATTAAGATAGAAACTCTCAAGATCACATCCCTGGGCTCATGTTATGATGCTTTGGATTGAATTCAGCTCCCATACGCTGTAAAATGTCATTTGATTCACATAATTAGGGCTTTATCCTTAAGGTGTACGTTGAAACCTAACTTTGAGTGATGTGACTCATGCAAAAGGGCCTTTATGATTAAAATAAGTGTAGTACAAGTTAACAATGTTTACACCCAAACATATCAGCAGAATCTTTAAGGACATTTGGTTCCTCTTCTCCTTTTTTTCCCCCAGATCTGCTTTAAATTTTTGCGTCTCTTAAAGTCACTGTCACATTCATGACTTTGTTTTAATGACCGAGCTCTTGTCTTTTTTCGTTGTGTAAAAATTGTATATTCTCTGAAGGGAAATTGCATCAAAGTGTAAAAGAATGGTTTACACTCCAGTATAAAACATGTTTTTGCACTGAATTGCAGTATATGTAAGTCTTCAGCAGACAGCTGCTCTGTGTTTTCCTCTCTGTATCTCCTGCACTTTTATTCTGCTTTGACCTGTTAAGGCTGCTGCTGCTGCTGATGTTCAACCAGAAAGAGCCTGTGGATGTGAAAGATTTGATTTGTTGTTTTATTTCCACTGTTTCGACTCATGTTAATGTACAAAGAACCAGCAGACGGAAAACTATACATATGACATGTATTTGCTTATTGTTTTATTATATTATTAAGTACATGAGGGGTTACATAATTATTCTGCAGCTTATAAAGTCGACATATCAGCACAAGGACTGATATGCTTATTACTCACGTCTATGAAGTCTTCAGGTCTAGACTCATTCAGACCAGCATGTTTACCTGCTGTTTAAGCAAAAAAAAAATAAATAAATAAATTAAAGACACTTACAGTTGGAAAAAAACAAAAGGACAAAAAGCAAAAAAGTTTGTAAATACATGTATATATACTTCATAAATATAATATGACTATCTATACGCGTTTCAATACACTTGTATAATGGATTTTGTGTCTGAAATGTTTTATTCTTTAAACTCTATGTAATTTATTTTCATTTGTTTTTGTCTGAGAGTTTTGTCAAAAGTACTTTTGTTTGATATATTCAACACTGTATATGACATGGTCTTTTTGCATATGAAAATATTTGATGTTTATATATACAAGTTCATTATAATTCATGAATATGTCTACATAAAATAAAGAACTTACATGAGCTGAGGTCTCTTCCCTTATATGTATATAAAATACAGCAGCTCCAAAACGTATTTAGACACATTGCAATGATGTTTAAGAAATGTTGTGCTTACAAAATGTGCCTCTGCTGTCATTCTTGAAAATAAATTACAGTTGCTTTAATATTTTATGATTTAAGGAAAAGTTGATTCACCCTTCTGCCATTCTTGTATTCTGTAATTTTGTATTTTTTGAACACAAGAATTTTTAAAGAATCTTTTCAATTCTGTCCCGTTTTCTAGTAAAAATGTTTAAACGTCCTTAAAACGAGTTAAATGTACATGAAAAGCAGTGTTTCTTGTTCATAAACCTCACTAAATTTAAATGAAAAACAAGACAAAACACTTACATTATTTTTGTTTATTTTTAACTTTTTTGTATTTTTAAATTGATCTATTGTTTAATTTCATTCTTTCATCCATTTATTTATTTGTTTGTTAATTTATTTATTTATTTTGCAATGTATGATATCTTTATGTGAGGAACAGACTGATAAACTTCAATCATGCTCACACTAATATTTAAAAATGGATGTTTTGCCATGCATGATCTAATGTATTTGTTACAGTCAGTAACTTTAATTTGGGTCTGTTCCCCACGTAAATCATCATACAACTTATAAGACTTATAATATAGTGTACAAGTCATATGGGTTGACATGAGAGATGTGGGGGCTGCTGTAGATTTCATCCTTAAACTGAAATGATATCATCTGAAGCCAACAAGCTTCATTGAATAAATTCTTATCTGCTTTTGCTTTTTCAGTAAATACAGCAGAAGAAAAAAAAAAACTGTACTGAGCACTTCAGGAAAGCAAGGACCATCATGAGAAAAGGAAATCTAGAGTAACCAGAGGAGAATGAAGAAAAGTGCCAGCGGAGAACATAAAGGACAAGAATACAAACAGATGGACACATTCAGAAACATTTTATTTTTCTATTTGTTAACGTTCATGGATGGAGCAGAGACGTGTGTGCATCTCAGAGACGACAGTAAACTGACGCTGATATGACTGTGCAGGGATCCTCACGCTACGGCCCCGCCCACAACATCATTCACCAATCAGAGGTGATATATGACAGGGGAGGAGCCAAAACAAGCCGAAGGCTGCATGACTAATGTGTTTCCTGTGGGTGGAGTCATTGTGCGTGCTGTGATTGGTTGCTTTGCAACACTTCCCAGAAAGGATATCACTCTCGCCACACTTCCTGCGTCATGTGCTTCAGCTCACATCCTCATTGGTCATCCATTCACCCGCTTCCTGTGGAGAGATGTCGCCAGACCGTTTACAGGATACAGTTCATCCTATGTGGGCGGAGCCGCTCATTCACTTCCTGTGGCTGATGTCATAACTCAGCTGATTGGCCACGCTGCTGACCAACTTCCTGTGGTGTTCCTGGTTAGGACTCTTAAACTAAAGATGTCAACTACTGATCAATGTTGTCCAGCGGTAGAGTGCGCGGTGAGGGTGTTGGTTCAGAAGGGGCGAAGCAAAATTTCTAATTAAGATTTATAATTTATATAAGAATGATTTTATGGACAGTTTACATTGATATTCATTCTGTTGCTCTTGTTTAATTAAGACTGAGGGGCTGTTCACACAGAACGTGGCTTTGCGTCTAAAAACACGAGACAGTGCCTTTAAAAAATGCCTCCTCCATCAAGTCGCAGTCGAATAAAACCGTTGCCATGCCAACTTGCTTCTCTAAGCAACGCTTGCCCCACCTCCGGGGTTTTCTGATTGGTCCATTGTTTTGGAACTGACATGGATGAGCGGCGCTGCGCGTAAAAGTTGAAACTTCACATGGCTTCTCAAAAA